AACGAGCCCGACAGCAGCTAAAACTATGAACTGAAACGAGCCCGACAACAGCTAAAACTATTAACTGAAACGAGCCTGACAACAGCTAAAACTATGAACTGAAACGAGCCCGACAGCAGCTAAAACTACATTCAGACCTGTGTGCAGTTTGATTAATAAACAAACAAATAAATAAATAAATAAATAAATAAATAAAGTCTTTATCACGTTAAAACAAATAAAACAGAAATTGTGATTTCTGCGAGGAAAAGGTTTGTTTTTATTTATTTCGTGTTTTATAAACTTTAATCAGGTTTTAACAGGAGCGGACAGAAGAACTGTGTAATATTTGATCGTTTGATTTCCACAAACAAACAAACAAACAAACAAACAAACAAACAAACAAACAAACAAATCTGATGTTTTTCATTTGTCAGACTTCTTGAGACCAACTCAGTAAAGTGACGGTAAACCCGCTGGTTCTGGTCCGGTTCCGTCTGAAGTGGACCAAAGTGGTTCTGAGTTCGGGTCGGAACCTGCGGGACATTTCCAGAACCGTCTCTGTTTGTCACGACGGTAAAACCCAAGCCGTCCGTTCGACCCAAACTCTGGTTCCGAACGGACGCTCGGTTCGAACTTTAACTTCAGGCCCGGCTCACCAGAACTTCTTCACCCGCCGCTGGTTCGGACTTTAACCGGAACGTTCGGTGGACTCACCGCGACTAAAGTCACCGTCAGAGTCCGGCTAGCAGCTCCGTCGACGGGTCGGGGGTCCGGGGCAGTCCGGCGGGACGCTCCGGAGGGGAAAGGCCGATTAAAGTGTCAGCAGTCTGGGTCGAGACCGAACAGAAAGCCGCGGACCGAACCGAAGTCCTGATGAGGTCACTGCGGTAAAAATAACAGCATACCGTCATCCGGAGGCGAACTCACCGAGCCTTAAAGGCGCAGGCGCAACTTGTGCGCCGACAGAAACCCCTCCGCTGAAATAAAGAAGACACATCGTGAAGCCGCGCCCGCGCCTTTAAAACATGTTACCGCCAGCGCTATGGAAGCTGAGGAGGGCCAAATGTTTCAGGAAATAAAAATACATTTGGTAAAATAATTTTCCAACATATTAGTTCATACAAATAAATACGGAGCCCCGGAGGGGACGTGGGGGATAATCTACAAAATAAATAAATAAAATCAAAAAGTTAGTTATACAAACTGATGTACTTCCGATTCTTTCCTGCAGGTGGCGCTATAACGTCGGCTGTTAATTAAACCCACGAAGAAGAAATCAGCTCAGGAAACTGGAGTAAACAAGGCAAGAAAAAGAAAACAGAAAACGTTGCGTTTGGTTCCGGTTCTGTTGTCTCTCCGGTCTGTTTTATATTGGCTAACTGGACCCGAGTTCGGTCTTGGTTGGACTCTGGGTTCGTGTCCTCTGGACCCATTTTGTCTCCGAGTTTCAGCGGAGCGAAATAATGGAAGATAACAAGGTGAGCTAGCAGCTGCTAACCTGAACGTAGCTGACCAGAACCTGGCGGTACCGGTTCTGAGCGGCTCGGATTCAAGATCCAGATCAATGATTGTGATTAATGGTCAATGCCAATCACAGAAAACCCGCTACTTACAAAGTTATTAACTAGTTTATCTTGTATTAGTTAAACTCGTTAACCTGGATCTAGCACCGAATTAATCAGAACCGGAACCACAACAACGTCCGTATCTGTGCCACAAGATCTGAACCAAATCTGACCGAGACCAGGTTGTGGTTTTTATCTGGACCTGGTCTATGAGGGCTGCCGAGTCGGTGACGTCATCAATAATTATTGGTTAAATCAGCAAAAAAATAATAATTAAAAGTGAACATATCTTGCTTTATTTAAACATATATATATGTAAAACTTTTTAACTGGAAGTTATTAAAATAATTATTGTACGGGTTTTTATTACTAATAATCAAATACATTTTTAAAAGTTAACAATGTAATAAATGTACATTAGTATAAAGCCAAGGACTTTAAATCATTATGCACTGTTTAGTTTTGTTTATTCTGCTAATAAACCTATTTCAAATGTTTTTATATTCCTAAACTTTCAGCAGATTATCTTTTAGTTGAATAAAATGTCTTTAACTCGTCATTAAATCATAAAAAGAATCATCTCTTTGGGTTTTCAGATGGTGGCAGGAAAAGTGAAGAAGCCTGGAAAACGTGGCCGCAAACCTGCAAAAATTGACCTGAAGGCCAAACTGGAGCGAAGCCGGCAGAGTGCAAGAGAGTGTCGGGCCCGGAAGAAGCTGCGGTACCAGTACCTGGAGGAGCTGGTGTCCAGTAAGGAGCGGGCCATCTGTGCGCTGCGGGAGGAGCTGGAGATGGTGAGGAGGAGTTGGACACACGAACATCCAGCAGATTAATCCTGACTCCCTACTCTCCCAAAGATTATCACCTTCATTTCTAGAGCAGTCAGTATCTCACCTGCAGCAGGTGGTGCTCAGTTTGTAGAAACTGGTCGGTCCCTGACAGACCAGTATAATCTACAGCACGTTAATCTGAAGTCTCTCCTCTCTGATCTCAGAAGGCCACCTGCTGTAGATGAGACAGTTTAGCGAGCCCACGTCCTTTGTCCTCACAGAGAGGACAAAATAAAGTTTACTTTGATCAGTTTAGACACTTTGTCCCACGGTAAATTGATCCTCCCTGTTGAAACTGTTGTCGAGTCTCACTGCGTCTGGTCTGGTCCTGCAGTACAAGCAGTGGTGTTCGGCCATGGATCAAGGGAAGATCCCGTCGGAGATCAAAGCTCTGCTGACGGGGGACGAGCAGAAGATTCCTCCCAGCAGCGGTACCAAGAAGAACAAGAACGTTCAGAGTTAGCTGCGGGCGGCGCCGCTCGTCTTCCTCACACGGGAACTCCTCGTCATCATTTCATGCTTCGGCTGCAGGAACGACGGAGTTGTGACCTGTAAACAACCGTACGGTAAACTGACAGAAGAACGACAACCCAAACTTCCTGTTTTTGTCTTCCAGGACAGAAAATGTCCTGCTGTCTGATGGGTACAGGTCACATGACTCCGCAACGCCTCTTTGATGTTTTCTCATGTTTGTGTTTAACGCCTGTTCTTCTGATGGACTGCTGGTATTATTTATTGATTCCAAGCTGTTTGTTTGTTTGAGCAGACCTGTCCTCCGTCTCTGGCAGCGTTGGTGTTTCTGGCTGCTCGAAGCACTTTGTCATTTTAAATTAACTCTTTTTGTTCTCAAAGCCAATAAAAGTTTTCTGATTAAAGTCCAGTTTCTGAGTCTGATGTTCTGTTCTTAGTCCACATTCTGGTGGTTCTGGTCCAAACAAACCGGACTGAGTCTGAGCCGTGAACTTGCACCAGATTTCCGTTTATCATCAGGTGTGTTCTGATGCTCAAACACCACACGGCCCGGCTGGTTCTGATGCTCAA